TTAACTAGTGCTAAGACAAAGATAGGTACTTATTAACTAGTGCTACAACAAAGATAGGTACTTATTAACTAGTGCTAAGACAAAGATAGGTACTTATTAACTGGTGCTACAACAAAGATAGGTACTTATTAACTAGTGCTACAACAAAGATAGGTACTTATTAACTAGTGCTACAACAAAGATAGGTACTTATTAACTGGTGCTACAAAAAGATAGGTACTTATTAACTAGTGCTACAAAAAGGTAGGTACTTATTAACTGGTGCTACAACAAAGATAGATATTTATTAATCAGCGCATAGAAACATTCTGAAGAATGTATGATATAGGCTGGGGACTATGATAGGTTTAGCAAATATTATTAATCTAATAAATTGTATTATTTTATTTTTAGACGTATGGACAAACATTTATAAATGATGACACCTTTCTAGCTGGAACGGGATCTGCATCTGGAGTTGTCCACGCTGTCCTTAGGGTGGTTATGGGCCTAGTGCTGGACAAAATATCTTTCAAGGTAAAGAACCTAATGGATGAAATATATTTTTATGTATCGTTAAAAATTAACAGAAATATTTATTTTAAAGATAATACTTTCAATTGAAAGCAAATTATGAAAAAACAGGATATTGTTCTGAAAGAAACCTTATACAACGTAACAGAAAATCCAGTTTTTTTTAAGGTAACATTTTAATTTCAGGGATGCTTTCCACGTTATTTTCAATTGACAGCAAGTTATCCTAAAGAAAACAGAGGGTTTTGTACTAAAGAGTTAATTAATGAATACGTATGATTTTGGAGACATTTTACACTCGTAATGGTGCAATAAGATTGAGAATACATTCCTCTAGAATCTCTTTTCTTGCCAGAACCAATATTTATACTCTTAAAGTTGTACACTAATGTTTCAATGTGGTGTTAGAAAAGACATTTATATAGACTGTGCTTATCTAAAAGTTTAAGCTGGACTAAATTTTGGTCTCAGTCATTGAAGTGATTTTTATTTATCTAAAATTTTACCTGAAAAGTTTCTCGTTTACCTGGATTCTTAAGTTTCACTACGTTTCGATCTCAGAGTTTGATTTGGTTTGAATTTCGCCCAAAGTTACACGAGAGTTCTAGCCGTCCATGAATTAACATTGATGGACTAGAGGGAAGGCAGTTAGTCAACACCACCCACCGCCCTCTCTTGGGCTACTCTTTCCCCAAAAATAGTGGGATTGATTGTCACATTATAACGCCCCTACGTCTGAAAGGGGATCCGAACCCGCGATCTGCAGATTACGAGCCGAGCGCCCTGACCACCAGGCTATAAATTCATCGAGTAAATGCTATATATTAATTCTTTATTTAAAATGTACACGTTAAAAATATATTACTAAAAACATTTAGAAAATACTAATTTGAACGTCTTTAAAATTCATAAACCTTTTCAATTCAACTGGACAAAACAAACAAATCCTAATAATCCATAGCATTTTTCATTAACTTTATTATGTTTATATTCTGTTATTATTGATTTCGCAATAGTTTAGTAAGTTTGCATTTCAACCTTTTCATCAACACTCATACAGCAACTCTTAAACATTACTCCTCGATAAACACATAACAGGGCTTTCTCAAAGTAGGTTTAAACACGGTAACAGGGCTCTCCCAAAGAAGGTTTAAACACGGTAACAGGGCTCTCTCAAAGAATGTTTAAAACACGGTAACAGGACTCTCTCAAAGAATGTTTAAACACGGTACCAGGACTCTCTTAAAGAATGTTTAAACACGGTACCAGGACTCTCTCAAAGAAGGTTTAAACACGGTAACAGGGCTCTCCCAAAGAATGTTTAAACACGGTAACAGGACTCTCTCAAAGAATGTTTAAACACGGTAACAGGGCTCTCTCAAAGAAGGTTTAAACACAGTAACAGGGCTCTCCCAAAAAAAGATTTAAACACTGTAACAGGGCTCTCCCAAAGAAGGTTTAAACACGGTAACAGGGCTCTCCCAAAGAAGGATTAAACATGGTAACAGGGCTCTCTCAAAGAATGTTTAAACACGGTAACAGGGCTCTCCCAAAGTAGGTTTAATCACGGTAACAGGGCTCTCCCAAAGAATGTTTAAACACGGTACCAGGACTCTCTCAAAGAATGTTTAAACACGGTAACAGGGCTCTCCCAAAGTAGGTTTAATCACGGTAACAGGGCTCTCCCAAAGAATGTTTAAACACGGTACCAGGACTCTCTCAAAGAAGGTTTAAACACGGTAACAGGGCTCTCTCAAAGAAGGTTTAAACACGGTACCAGGACTCTCTCAAAGAATGTTGCACCTATATATTTTACATTATCTTGCATCCAGACATCCACCTATGTGTTTGTCCTGCAAGGTGACTCTTGTAAAAAAGGAGAGGATTCTGATGGTTGATTGGTGCTTGGGGCACTGCAACACGTTACTTTGTCCAGAACTGGTGACTTCAGGGTCACGTGGCTCAAGTCAATAAACTGCCAGTGTTGAAGTTAGGTATCTATAATGCGTATTGTGGACATTATGTTTAGTACTTTTATTCGGTAATAGGTTTAAAACAATATCATTGCTGTGCTGTTCAAATTTGATAGTGTAGCACGTTCCATTGTGGATATTCAGGATGGATAACGATCAGTAGGCTCCAAATCATTCTTATTTTTAAATGGATAATCAAAATTAAAGAAACTCATAATAGCTAAATGGTAGACACATTCACCATCTCATACAATGCTTGTACCTTATGTTCCGAATTAACATTCGTTATCAGAAAGGTTTCTTAATAAGTTGTTACTCTTGTTCAACGAAACCGACTGATATGATGTAGCTGGCTCTCCAAATATGGTAAAACATTCAAATCTTGGGTTATGTATTTGTCGAAAAGTCATGATCACAAAAGAGTGAACTCATCGATCTAAGCCAAGACACTTCGTTGAGTTCCTAAAAAGGAGATATTGTTGAAAGAGATCTTAACACCCTCAGGTGATGCGTTTGAAACTTTAAAAGGCGGCCTTCTTTGGGAGCTTGGTTGTTTAACTGTAATATGTTAAAGATTGTGTAGAGGAAATAACTAATTGTAATGTCCAGAGATGTTTTTACAACACCTAAAACATCAACATGATTTGATAAAAATTTGATTACAAAAAGGCATGGAGGACTGAGAAACGAGTCAAGAACGTTTTTCACGAGCATTCCACTCTTACTAACTGCACAATCTTTCAAAAGAAAAATTTCTGTGATCTGTAAATAATTCTTTCAAAACCATAATGAATTATTTAATTAATAATTTAATTTGCATTCAACACATCTTCTTGCACAGCCAATTCAAAGGTCGTTTTGGGCAATGAATAATAGAAAGGTTAATTGGAAGTCACTGGCTATAATGTTGTTGACATACATGGTATTAAAAACACCCTTACAGTGTGCTCCACTTCCCACTCAAGCACCTCCATTTTCTTCCCTGCTTTATTGACCATCAAGATTAAAGCTATAAGAACACCAATAAGTAAGTTTTACCACATGTGTCAGTTGAAATTGTGTTTATTGGAGCAAACTTCTTGTATTTTATTAGACCTTAGATTGTTTTTACCTATTTTTCTATAACAAATAGTGAAAGTACTGTGTTTAGGAATACAGACTGAGTCACTTATTTCTGATGTGGTAAATCTTTCCAAGTAGGACTCACTTTCTAATATCATATTGTAAAGTTTTTAAGACAGTTTTTATATAATTAACCGTAAACTTTTGCTGAACTCTGGCATAAACTATAGCTTAGAAAATAAACTTATTCATTTTTAGAACTAAAGGACGGATTATATGTATTTTATTAAATGTCACTAGATTTATGGAGTTCAGTAATATAAAAATCACCAAGAAATTCTGAATGGTTTCACTCTCCACTGTCGTTAATAATAAAAGCAAAAATCCATTTGTGGTTAAATACGTAACATCATACAAACATTATAGTGTTTATATGCAACAAAACATATATAAACAAACCCTTTCTAATTACCAAAAAAAGATTATAAAAGAAGAAAGGGTTAGATTTGATACTTGATTTTTAAAGTCAGTTTCAAATATCAAGCACTAATTATTCAGGACTGGGTTTGATTAAATGCACTCTTTATACGATATATTTTAACATTTATTTACATATATATATAAATATAATGATCACGTGATGCATTCTAGGTTATTTTTTGTTTATATATCTACAGAGGTAGTGAAAGTAACTGTGGGGCTGCGGGTGAGTTATAAGTTGTTCAAATCTCACTATTCCGTCAGATTAGAGTATCACAAGAGTTGGCGGTTGGTACTGTTTACTAACTTTCTTCCACCTGTCATCCATCAATCATTAGTACTGACGTCATATCAAGTGTTTATTAATGGATTAGTTTGATAGCGAAATAAAGGACAAACACACGATACGGGAAACTAAGAAGTTAACCAGAATTTATATTACTAGAACATTCTAGCGCTCTTGTGAAACTTACACATTAAAACTTATAAATGAAACAGTTTGTCCCAGAAATGTCTGTTGGTAGGTTCAGTGTTTTTCCTATTCATCATAAGCTTGGAGTATCGTTTAAACTGGAGCACCTATATCTGTAACAAACGTTGACAACTTATTTTTTTTTTCGTCTTTGAATTAAATAAAAAGTTAAGTGAAAATTTTTGCAGCTTCACAACTAGAAATAAAACTATAATTTTTAAACACGGTGAATAGATTTCAGCTTTTCTAAAGAGATTTATTTATTAATTTGTAATACAGTACGCAGTTTTCAACTACAGTCTCGTGGTTTTTATAAATTAGTTATACTTTATCAATTATCTATTTATTATCGTTGAGCTTTCTAAAGCTTTTTCTAAAACTGTTTCATATACATTTAACATGTAGTTAACAAGCCTGATTTTGACGGGGTTGAAGACAGTGCTGCTATTTACGCTGGTAGCGACATCTTACGGTGGAAAAGTGATGTTTGTAATCTGGATTTGTGGAATATTTGCTGCGTTTCCTGTTGAGTTTGTGTGCATTCCTGCCGCTATTGCTGAAGTGTTTGGGAAGAAACACACAGCTATGATTTATGGAATGATCTACTTTGTAGCAGTAAGTAATTAGTGTGACTGAAAGTTAAAATGAAACATTATCATCATCATGGTTATAGAGTTGGAAGGTTTAGTATTTCTGTCTTTAATTTATTGTTCGAACCTACACGTATTCCTAATATCAAAAATCAAACACTGGATACACGATCTACTAATTTTAACCTCAAATGTTTTCTTTTTCTATAACCCTGATAGTTATGTCAGTCTTCTTGATATTTTTACTAACTATTCAACTGATACTCAAGGTTACCTTTGTTTCTTAAACATCTGTTACTATGTGACGGTGATTCTTCTTGGATACATGATTTAATTCATCTATCTCTCAAACCCTGATCATTAGATCCTTTTTGTTGACCATTTAACCACTTAGTTACAGCATATTTCTTTCTAGGTGATACATCAGTTTATTGATATTTTTATTTTTATTCTACTAAAGGATGAACGACTGGGTGTTTTCTTCTGGCTGATACATCAGTTTATTAATATCTTTATTTTTTATCCATTAAAGGATGAACGACTGGGTGTTTTCTTCTGGCTGATACATCAGTTTATTAATATCTTTATTTTTTATCCATTAAAAGATGAACGACTGGATGTTTTCTTCTCGTTGATACATCAGTTTATTAATATCTTTATTTTTATCCATTAAAGGATGAACAACTGGGTGTTTTCTTCTGGTTGATACATCAGTTTATTAATATCTTTATTTTTTATCCATTAAAGGATGAACGACTGGGTGTTTTCTTCTGGTTGATACATCAGTTTATTAATATCTTTATTTTTTATCCATTAAAGGATGAACGACTGGATGTTTTCTTCTGGTTGATATATCAGTTTATTAATATCTTTATTTTTATTCATTAAAGGATGAACAACTGGGTGTTTTCTTCTGGTTGATACGTCAGTTTATTAATATCTTTATTTTTATCCATTAAAGGATGAACGACTAGGTGTTTTCTTCTGGCTGATACATCAGTTTATTAATATCTTTATTCTTTTATCCATTAAAGGATGAACAACTGGGTGTTTTCTTCTGGTTGAT